AGGGGCAATGGATACAAGCTGGAACGCAGGAGGTTCCACAAAAACATTAGGAAAACCTTTTTCCCTGTGAGGGTGACAGAGCAGTGGCACAGGCTGCCCAGGGAGGTTGTGGAGTCTCCTTCTCTGGAGACATTCAAAACCTGTCTGGACGCGTTCCCGTGTGACCTACTGTAGGTGATCCTGCTCTGGCAGGGGAGTTGCACTAGATGATCTTTTGAGGTCCCTTCCAACCCCTCACATTCTGTGATTCTGTGATTCTGTGAAATACAGCAAAGAAATGCATGGTCAGAGTGTTTGTGAAATTCAAAAAGTAGCTGTCAGAGATGGAGGCTCTGAAATGCCTGAAATGCAGAGACAATTTACATGACAGGGGCTTTTCAAATTACAAGCAGCTGTCTTCATGAACTCTGAATATTTCCTTACTCTAAACACTCTGAGGCAAGCTTAGTTAACTTTTATTTTAAAGATGTTCCTGGTGCCTTACACTTCCTCTCTCTTCTGAAAGATAAATGTCTCGTATTTCAATTATTTTTGTGGGATGGGAGTGATATTTAATCACAAAATGTGCACCTTTTCTCTTTCCATCATTACCTGAAATGCTGAGCCATTTCTGCCTCAGAATGTGTTACTGAAAAAAAGTTACTTCGTCTAGCACATCAGCCTGTAGCTCTTAAGTTTCACGTATTTTGTAGTTAGAGAGTACATTTTGCATCCAGGTGCTCCAGTGCTCTTCATGCATGCAGCAATAAAAAAGCAACACACATCTTCTTATAGAAGTGTATTTGTTCAACAATTTATTTCAAGTTCTCCATGTAATAGTGAGGGAATCATAAGGCAAAAAAAAAATCTATACTGAAGTCCTTCTGAGTAGCTTTTTGGCACCTTACTAACTTATTAATAATGACAGACTGACAAATTTTCTCCTTATAAAAGCATAAGAAAATCAATCTTAATTGCCAGCGTATTTTCTTTTTTCTTTTTTATTTTCACTCTCTTATATATGAAAATAAAAGTAAATACATTTTTGAAAATATTGTACTTGTTGCTTGGAATAAAAATATTAACTAAAGCAGTTAAAGCTAAAGACAGTCTTGTGCTGGAGGATGCTGGCGAACTTCATAAGCATCTAAGCAATACTTTTTTTGAAGTTAGTGCCTGTGACATCTTATTTCTCTTACATGATGGCCTCTTGGGCCTAAATCTGTCTTTTGATTGTGATTTTTCATGCTTCTCCGTATGAGATAACCAGCTAACAAAAAAAAAAAAAAAAGCTTGGTTCATTTCAATTCCTTTTCTTTCTCTTACACTCCAGGTAGAAGACAAATTTGTACATGGGCAAAATGTCTCATAACCAAGCTTTCTTTCATGTTTGTATTCTGTGATACTACATCACCCTGACATTAACACAAAGGACAAGTGCAAAACCTTTTAGCTGAGTGTCCCTTCAAAGTACCATTTAATAGCCTGGGAACTTATTTCCCTTCAACATAAGCTGTCAAAGGATCCAGTGAAATGAAGCATCGACTCTTAAAGTTTATCTAGATAAAGGCAGTCATGCTTTCTTTTTAGGATTGCATCAACTTTTTTTAAAGAAGTTGTATGTGATGCAGCATCCCACAAAGACAGGAAATTGTTGTGTTTTGATAAATATACATTCATAAAAAACGTGAACTTGCAAGTGCCTCTTGTTTCACCTCTTGTTACTAATTATGTAAGCTGTTTGAAGTTTCCAGGTTTTTGTGCTCAGTAGAAGTTTTCATAGCTTTAAGGTGGACGTAATTTCAGGCATCAGTTTCATCATATATTTTTTTCAAGTCAGTTAAGAAATTAGTGTAATGATTAGTCAGAAGACTTTTCTAAATTTAGCTGCAGAATTCAGAGTCTGTCCCAAAGCATAGTCCTCCAGCAAAAATCTAGGATGCGGAAAATTAAAAGCGATGTGGGAAGAACATAGGGGTTTTTATATGCAGATTTTTTAGAAAGTATTCCCTGTCCTGGCACAGTTGAAATTTTACTTGAAGGACTCAAAAAAAATAACGTATTAAAACAAATTGAGTTGCATATATGATTAATTCACACAGTAGAAAACTGATTGTAAAAAGTGCAATTTTATTCATGTGACCTTGAAATTAATAAAACTATTTTAATTTTGTCATTTCCCTTCTAAGTGTAGAATGCAATTAACAATAATCTTGGCAGAGAAACAAAGGTCTAACGTAAAAATCTGCTTTCAAAATAAATTGGACTGGACTTAAAATATGTTTTTAAAAGGTTTTTTCTGATATGTAGGGATAGTGAAGTGTTCAGCAAAGCTGATTTAACTCACATATTGTAAAACTGTACAAGGATCTAATTCTCTCTAAAATATGCTTTTTTCTGTGAGAAATTTATGTTATATTTCTTATTGTGCTTTAATTCAGTAAACGTGTCATGATACATCTATACCAGTCCTTTAAAGCCCTGACTACTTCTTCCTGAAGTTACGTCTACCACTGAAGCTACTTCCACTTCAGCTGGAATTTAGGCTTCCGTTTCATGTTGCTGTTAATCCCGTGTTACTGTGAGTTGCTGCTGAGAGGTGCAGTCACCCTGTGACCCCACACACACATCCACCACACATCCCCTCTCTTTCACCTCTGCAAACATTATGTAGCCTGGAGTGACTGGGATGTATTTAATGATCTGGTGTAAATCTAACCCTTTTGACAGTACTGAATGGATGTAGCCAACAAAAGTTTTCCATATACTCCACTGGGAACCACAGAGAAACTGGGACACTTTCTTCCATTCTTCTTCAGGCAGCCTCTCTCCTCCAGGTGTGCTTTCTGTCTGTCCCCTCTCTACTGAAAAACCTTCCTCCCATCACTGCTTCCCAAACCCAGAAGGAGCTTCTTGCCAGTGCAGCCTCCCTCTGTTAAGCAGAGGCTTGGCCACATGCCTTCCACCAGGCTGGGAGTGATTTATTAATAAATTATATACACCAAAGTCACAGGTGCAGGTATTTCTATATTTCTAGTGTACGCTCATCTGTGCTTTAATGTTTGAATGATAATGCCTCTGAGCTTATGTGTAGCACCTAACAAACTCACAGTGAGACAAAGGAGAGTTTGGGAATCATGTCTTGTACCTAGTTCTTGATGCAGGCATTTTCCTATAAATATAAACACATTTTAAAATCACACTATGTGAAACAAACACAGAGGGAGAACACTGTTGGCGAACTTGAAAATTAAGAAGGATCCTTATAAAACTTGTTTTCATCTGTGATTCCTGAATTATTTACTTCATGCTTTTCGAAATAATGCTGTACTAGGATAAGATGTATGATTATCAGTTAGAGTTAAGTGGGCTTTCTTCAAATGAAGAAAATCAGGCTTGAAAGTTAGGCTTTTTTGCGAAATGTACTTCAGATGCCGTCTTGAAAATTCTCTGAGCAATTCTGGCAGCCAGATGGTGAATTGTGTATGTATTAATAGGAAATTAGTTGAGATACACATAAAATTGTGAAACTTTGATCCAGCTTTAGGATTTATCAGCATCCAGCTTGTTGCTTTGATTTTCTCAATAAAGGTTGCAGTTTTCTCATAGACTATAACTATCGTACTTATCTGATAAACTGAATGGTGTCCTTTGAAATTTTAACAGGTTAGCATTGATTACTTACATTGTTGTTTCCTCTCTTTTTTTTCCAAGCCCCATTTGTTGTTGTTCTTGTTTTACATTAATCCATTTCAAATAAGTTACTTTGGCATTTCTCATCTAAACATCTTAAAAGGTCAAGGGAAAAAAATTGCTCTAATAATAAGGAAATGAGTGACTCTACCAAAACAAGCTGTACCAAGAGAAAGCAACTGTGATTCTTGTCTGTAACATGGATGTCAACTTTAATTCAGAACCACCCGTGTTCTCCATATGTCTATGCAAGCTATCTGCCAACCACTACCAGCAGAAGAGTGTCTGTGTGCACAAGTGACCTCACAGCCTCCTCTGAAGTGCGTGATATATTGTTATCTATTTTTTGCCTCGACTTTTTAAACTTCTTTCTTTTTGGCTACTCAAGCTACTCCATCTCATCAGTTCCCCATCTCTTTTCCTGTCTGGTTTGAGACTGTTATCTGCTTTCCATAGGAGCTCTCTAAAGCTCCCTGGCTGCTCCTTGTTTCTTGTATTGCCTTTCTTCAGTGGAGCTACTTAACTGCACAAGGATGAGGGCAAAACTGGTAGAAAACACTCTGTAAAACTTATACTGCAGGCAAAAACCACAAAAAAACCACGGTACAGCTTTCCTACTACGGTGGACATATGGATGACCACTGTCACCTCATGAAGAGCTTGAATCAGGGCTAGGCAAGGCATCCCATAGTGGCTTTGCAGAAGGGGGTGAGCAGCCATGGGAGGTTTTGCATTTTCTTTTAGCAGCTTCTTAATAACCTTGCAGCCTAAGTCTGCTTCCAGGCACGGGGTATACCTCTAATGTGGAGGGTACTGGCTCTTTTTTCTGCTCCTAGAAAGGCTTGCAGTGCTCGCCCAAGGCATGACCTGACATGCCTTACACTTGCCTCTAAAGAGCAGTCTGAGCATTAGCACAATCTTATCTTATGCATGTAAAAGTGTGGTACACAGTGTACCTGCTGGAGGTTGTGTGGAGATCTACCTACATACTAGCAACCTGAGTGGTTATGGGAGAATTCAGGACAAGAATTCTGTCTATATTAGATTTGGTTCGAAATCAAGAACTGATATCCAAGACTTCTTCCTGTTGCAGTGGATTATGTATTCTAGGTGCATGTCTTTGTTACTGACTGTGTGTGTTTCTAGTAGCTAGAAAGCCTGCCATGAAGATTTTAAGGTGATTGTGATAATGATGTTAAAATGTGTTCGGAGGAATATTGTAACATAGGTATAAATTACTATGAGGAATTAAGTAGTATAAGACCTTGTGGACAGTTTTGCTTTTAGTACCTGAGGATAAGTAAAGTCAAACCCTTTAATCCCAACAGTCTGTGCTTACTTGGAAAAATGTTTGTCTGACTGCAGGCATGGAACCCGTTGTGCTGGAGAAGTGGCAGCCACGGCAAACAACTCACACTGCACAGTAGGAATCGCCTTCAATGCCAAGATTGGAGGTATGTGAAACAATCTCCCACCAAAGAAAAAAGTAACCAAAGAGCCATTTGTGCTAAATGGTACAGTCAGACCTTTCTCAAGAAGAGACGGAGATTTGTATGGATAACAAACCTAGCTGTGTTAGCAAGTAAATCTCAATTGTAGAGTGATTGTTAAATACCAGTACTGAAGGAGTTTGTCTGCGGTGACACTTCTCCAGTGCTCCCTGGAACGCTGCCTCTCAGTACACACAGAAAAATAGAAAGCAAGACCTTTGATGAAAACACAAAAGCCAGAATTAGGACATTTGGGTTTTCTCACAGATTCAGAGCTCCAAGTGATGAACTTCAACAAAGCAGAAGTAAATGTACACATCATGAATATTGCCTTGCCTATTCACCTCAAACAAAACACTGTCAAAGCATAACATGTTTTTGTGTTGTTTGACTGTGGTTGTAGAAAATATCCTTTTGTTTCTTCTGTGTGATCTGATTACTGCCTGAAATACAAGATTCGATCACACTTTTTTGTTCATTCAGCCAGAAGGTTCCAAGTGGTTTCTGTGAATTCTTAGTCAATGGCTTCTCAATTAAAACCTTCAGCTTAGTTTGTGGATATGACTATCAAGATGCCATCCATGTGTCTCCTAAGCTGTAGTCTGCCTGTGCCAGATTTTAATGCTTTAAGTGAAGTTTTACCTTGAATTTTGGATGAAATCATGGAATTGGTATATTGGCTTTTAGTAGAAAGGCCTGTATAGTTCAAACTCATTGTTAATTTTCTGTCCCAGAATAGAGCCCATCTGTGAAAACAGAAAGATGTTTACCTGTATATACACTAGAAGACAGTTCAAAAATATGAGCAGCAGAGTTTAGGCCGTATTTCCATGAGTAATAGCACTGTATCTCTTCTCGGCTGGATCAGTACAAGTTTGATCCAAATCAAATGTGAGCACAGCTGCATTTCAAATTAGCCAAAGCACACAGCATCATCCTAATGTCAGTTTTCTGTTTTCCTGCTGGCTTCAAGAGGACAGATGATACCTTAAGGTTAGAGTAACGCAACAAAACAATTTCCCTCCAGGTAGAGAGCTTGCCTGTACAAAGTTACCCTGTCAGAGTGGTTTAGAAGATCTGAACTGGCCAAGTGAATGAGTTTGTAACAGAGGGGCAGGATGTGTCATGTGGACATGGCATTTAGTCATGTACCAGCAGCTATGAAATTGGTTTTATTGCATTGTCAAACCAGAGTCAGAGAACAGTTAGTGGACTGACAGAGATAAAAGATGGCTTCTGAAGAAGTTTCATTCGCTAGTTGGATAGTTACAGAAATTGCAAGAGCTTAGGGATGTCCTGGAAAATTCTCCATTAGTAACAGTGGCCTCTTAATAGGTTATTACGTATTAAGCATTAGGAATGTACGGTAATACTGTTTTAGAGACCTTTCAGGCATATTAGCTGAATCGCAGCCTTTTGTAAATATAGTGTAAAAACTGGTTCAGATGGACATAGTATGAATGGAGTTTATGTGAACAATGAAAACTGAATAGTTTTGCCTTTTTATTGTTTTTCTATGTATTTATTTATTCATTTTGTATGAGGAATATAACAGCCTTCAAGAGATATCACTAGTCTCAATGAAATAAAAATTTGATCCACTGCGTTTGTCACCATTGTTCTGTAGAGCTAACATTGTTCTTAAAAGAAAACTGGAAAGTAATGAAGGTGTGTAAACCTCACTTGAGGTAATGTACCACCTTTTAAAAGCATTGCACTTGAAAGTAAGACTTCAGTAGGCTCAGCAGCTAATCTGCAGAAAAAATCAGTCAAGAGGGAGTTCCAGGATATTGGCAAGGAAGGTTAAGCTGCCTCTTCACTAGATGTATATATTTAAGTGTTTTGCTGATGATGACCTCTATTTGGCATGCCTTTCTCCCTTCCCTCAGAAAAGCCATAAGCTATACGTGTGAACATGGAGTGGTTGTGTTCCCTCTCCACAAGCCAGATAGAGGGTAAAAGTGTTGAATCATGTTATGCTGAAATAGCGTTCAAGCTTGCTTGTGTCCCAAAGATTTTAAAACTATTCTGGGGCCCTCTTGGAGAAGAAACTAGAGTCGAGGTGAAGCAATTGCATTCACCTTACATAAAGCAGCACCTGGCAACAGTGATGTTGAATTTGCTCCACCAACATAAGTACTCTTTACTTCAAACCAAAAAAGCATCTCTGAACATGTAAGAGATAGTAAGGAGATAAACCAAGGGGGGAAAGAAAACCTTTCCATTGATATTTCATCAAATGCTGGCAGCTGAAAAAATATAATTAATGATCTTTGTGATGGGAAGTCATTTACAAGATTTCCACCAATAATGCTTGCTTTTTTCCTAAATTTTGTTGTACTCCTTGTCTCATTTCCACACATTTGAGAATCTCTGACCATAAATAGGTGAAAACCACGATCCTCATAAAGTCAGGGCCTTCTCTTGCAGTGGTGTAAGCAAGAATGTAATCTGCAGAAAAGAAAATTTGAGTAGAATTGCAATCTGGCCCTTCAGTTCTTTTACAGGTTGTGACATAGTTCTTGCAAAGAACTATGCGCTATGCCTGCAGTTTCTGCTTAGCTAAGATGCAAGCTCTTCTGTTACAGAAACAAACCAGTGCACCAGGGGGGTAGATTTTTTTTTTTTTTTAATGTGACTCTATACATAATCAAATTACCACCTACAGAACTTGTGAGACTTTTTATAGGAAGGGATGGTTAGCGTGTTGTTATTGTTGCAGGCTGACTGTGGAAGTTGCAAAGCATCTGTGGGGATTTGGGTGCTTAGTTACTTGACTGGGCTCGAGTCCTGACAAGAAAACAGTTACACTGAATTACAGCACAACAGATGTAGATTGTCTTCAGCTGACAAGGAATTAGTTCAGCTGTTTCTTTAAGTCAGATACCGATTAAAAACAAACATTTCAAAAGAAAACTTGCTTTCAGTTCAGTTTTGTATGTTTCCTGTGATTCATTGAAAGCTTGTTCTGACTAAAATGCCACTTCCATTTTGGCAATTACTGCAAATATTGGGAAAAGTTTATAGAGCTCTAAAATCTTAGGTGGAACAGCCTGCAAATGCAGTCTGTTAATTGCCTTCTGGACAGCTTTTGTTGTGCTATCACCACATGCCAAATGCAGTTTGGAGGTTTTGTGATCAGCAGAATTAACTAGCCTAGACATTGTGGGGCTGGTGGGGGGGGAGGCAGGAGAGAAAGAAAGAAAAGAAGGAAGGAAAGAGAGAGAAAAAAGGGAATTATTTTTGGTTTAAATAGTCAATGAGATCTTTGTTGTTCAAGAATCAAAGCACATCTGTCCATTGTTGGCCAGTGGGAGCAACACCTAAGTCCCAGCTTTGTCCGTGTTGCTTTAGATTTGACCACTTCACTGTTAGCAAAAAAAAATTGTGTGAATTACTTCAGGTGCCAATGGCAGAACTTGGAATCAGTGCTCACTGTGTGCGTGTAGTATTATTTAGGCTTGGTATGCAGTAACAGGGACATAAAACAAAGCTTTTCTTCTTTCAAAAGCAGTACCTTTTACTCTCTTTGTTTAGAACTAAATATATTTTAACGTGCTTGAAAGAAATTGAGAACACAACTTCCACCCATCATTAATTTTCTGAGTTTATGCTGAGGAAGAAAAACAAAACCTGAGAATCCCAGAGTTGGTTTAATGACTTTTTTTATAAAGTTCATAGTGAGATCACTGTTTGTAAAAGTTTATTGTCTCACAAAACATGAGGAACTTTTGCGTGAACTTAGAAATATGATCAGTTTTCATTTCTGAGTCAATTAGAGTAAGGGAATAAAAAGACCCTCTATCAACAAAGCACCCCCTATGCCTTTTGTTAATTGGAAATTAAGGTCTCGGTAAACACTCAGGTTATTTCAGTCACAGCTCAGGAGCAAAATGTAATGTGTCTGTAATTAAAAATATGTAAATTTGGCTTATAAATAGCAGTGGCCTTTTAAAGGGAAAAGAGCATCAAAATTGTTAACTGTGGAAGTAATCACTCTGTGCTATCACACAGTTACGTGATAATTATTATTTAATATTTTACATCCCTTTAATCAGGTGTCATGCTAGCTGTATGTAGGTCTTTTTTCTCGTTTAGATTAAAAGTGGCATTGGCAGTTTTCTTAGTCAGAATTAACTTCAGCCAAAATCTTACAGTTAGTCAAAAGAAGAACTTTAACATTTTTTCATTTTCCAGATTATTCAGTCTAGTTATCTTAAAACATCATGATGCTATTCACTTTAGAAGGGCTGGCACTTTTACTTGTCAAAACTCACATGAATGGATTCTTTTAGAAGATGTTCACAATACTGTAGTTTTGGATTGAATAATGTTACATGTAAGGTATTTATTAGTAACTTCCTGTAATTGCCTTGCTACTGTGTGTGGTAATAAGTATGTACACACAAGCTTTCTCCCCAGTTTCTTCTCTGCAGCCTCATACAGTTAAGGAAGGATGCCATTTTTATCTGTCAGCAGAGGTGCTTTTATTGTATCCGTCAACGTACTTAGGGCTGTGAGTGACTCGAAGTAGGTGCTGCAGCTTCACTGTATTATAAAAGAGGAAAGAAAATCACATACTGTCTTCAAGTGAAACATACAGACTTTTCAAAGTTCAAGTCTTTTTTGAGTTTCTTTAGCACAAAAGTTTGTTGTTGAAGTTCAGAGGCTGTATAGTGGATAAATTCTTATACATATTTTTTAAACTTGAAGAAAGACCCATATATTCTTTCATTCTTGTGTTCTTTCGTCTAGAGACTTTTATCCCCTAGCAAAACACTTTTCCAAAGAGGTTTTGTTGTTATGTTTTGGTTTTTAGACCAGTAGAAATCCTTATGGTCATTCAGTCCAATGTTTTATAAAACAATTTTCTCTAAAGATAAAAAAAAGGAAAGGCGTTTTGAGTGGTTGCACCTCTTCACTGCATCTTTTATTCTGAAGGTGTGCGGATGCTGGATGGAGATGTGACAGACATGGTAGAAGCCAAGTCTCTAAGCCTTAATCCACAGCACATCCACATCTACAGTGCCAGCTGGGGGCCTGATGACGATGGTAAGACAGTGGATGGACCTGCTTCTCTTGCACGCCAGGCCTTTGAGAATGGCATCAGAATGGTAGGTTGGCATCAAAGTGCATCTCTTGTGTCTGCTCTCATGTGCAAGTGTAAGGATACATGTGCCTGATATGTGCAAGTGCACAGCATAGGAAAGAGGAAAGGATTCTGAAGGAAAGAAGAACAGCTTTCTTTGTGTAAAACTAAAAACGCATTTTCCTTCTATGGTGATCTGATGGTCAGTCCTTCCTGAAGTATCAGCTCTGTTCATTTTCAACTGGAACACATCATCCTCAGTGTCCTTTAAAACTGCTCTGAGGTAATTCTGCAAGAAAAAGTAAGACTGAAAAATAGTAGTTTTCTCAGCAGTGCCAAGTCATCAAATTTAAATTGCAATGAACATTTAAAGCAAAAGTCGTGACTTTTTCCCTTCTTTCTTCCTTTATTTCCTTGCTTTGTTTTGCTTAATCTTAACAGAAGTTTGACGATTTTAACAGGGAGGTGGGGGGCAAAAAAAGTCTACACCCATGTGTCTTTTAGCCTTTATGTCTAGTCTCAGAGAACTTATACGCTATTTATAACTTCTATATACATTTGTGTGCAAGTTCATGCTATTACATTTTCTCTGTGATATAGCCAGGAGATCTTCAATAATACAATGCACAAAGTCCCAAATGCCTCCACGTGAATATTTCTAAGACCTTTTCAATTTTCTTTAATAGTTACAGTCAAACTAATAAGACCACAAAAGGAAATGAGTCATTAGAGGAACTTTTTATGTCAGAGGACAATTTTTAGTTCTTCCTTCTACCTTCTTGCCTGTTAAATAGATCAGGGAGTTACTTGTCTTCAAGTGCTCACACCTCTTTCCACTATGCAGAACTAGTGGAAAGGGTTTTAAAGCTTTGCACTTGAAGGTCTGATCATTTTTTGGAACGCAACAGGAGACTTGCTAGTTCAGTGGTAGGTGCGTCTAGGATCAGAAAAAGGGGGTTAATAGAAAATATTTGCTTAAAGAGACTGAGACTGTTGGACCAAAGTAGAACTGGTATGTAGTTACTGGAACTAGGTCAGAAACTGTGAATATTATTGAAGTCAATAATTGTTTTAATCAGGTATTCTAAAACTAATTTTAGCAAACTATAGCTAGCATTCAGCCTGGAATATTTGCACTGTGTGTAAAAGACAGTGTCTGCCACTGAGAGACTCTGTTAACTTAAGGTGTACCTTGAAAAGCAGTTGTTATAACAACAAACAGGGACAGTACATGCAGCAGGGCAACAGACAAAATTAAAAGAGCAGCTGGTCAGGCTGACCGTCTGTATGCACAGTGCAGCATTTCAGGTGAATTACAGTATACTTTACTGTAAATTGTAAATAAATACATCATAAATTGAAACACACTATCATCATAAACTTTGCCTAGGAGCACAAGCCTAGGAGGTGTGAATTCATATTTAATCACAGCTGCACCCTTGGCTAACTTTGGTTTCCTCGATGCAGTTGCATAAATTTCATACTCTGACTCCTGTCCTCCCTGCTGCAGTACATGCTCATCTACCTAGCTGGTAGGTTATAATGACCGATTACTGAAATACTGAACTGACAAGAGGGATTGTTGTGCTTCCTATGCTATATAATGTTAAAGACATGTATCTCAAATTCTGTAAACCCTTTGCTAACCATCCAGCTGTGGACTACTGCCTTCCTTTCACTCCGTCATATGATGACCAATATGTCTGGAGCTGCAGAGTTATGCTTTTGCTAGTTGTGTATTATGTCATATTTGAAGGCTACCATAACAAAATACTCAAGCATGTACTTAACTTTAGCCTGTGATGAATTCCAGAGACTTAGCAGTTAAACACATTTACGCACACTGATAGATTCTGCCTCAAAGAACTCCACTGTAATTAGTACTCATTGTTAAAGTAGTTATTGTTGTGCTTTTAGAACAATATGACAAGTACGTGGAAGGCCAAACGCATCTCCATTACTGCTTCTAATGCATCATGACTCCTCTTATCAGATGGAATAACAGTGCTCCCTATCACCCAGCTAGACTTTACTACTGTTTGACAGTGACCACAGAGAACAAAAACAATAAAGTGATGAAGGAGACCCTAATGGAACTGCAGAATTCAGGGGAACTTAAACAAAATCAGTTTTATGTTTAAACATATATATATGTGTGTTATTTTATATGTTGTATTTCACGTAGGTAAGACAATCATGACAATTTTGGCCCAGATTTTTGTTGCAGTAGAACTCAGCCATTTCCTCATCGCAATCTTGAACTGGGGATAAATCCAGTATAAATCAAGAATGTGGAATAATTTGCCAGAAGCGTGAATCCTGCCTACAAGGGTTATTGTTTTCATTGTTATTACTGTAGCTGTAATAAGAGAGAATATCCTACAGAACCTAGATGAATTTTATTTTACCAGCACATTGTTCTATATTTTTAGCAAATACCAGTTTATAGTCGAAACATAGTATTTAATTTTATAATTCTGAGTTGGTCATTTTTTCTGGTAACAATGTAGAAAAAGAGATTGGTATATATTTTTAAGAAATAGTAGAAGTAATATTTGATGCAAGTCAAATTACTATTTTTACACTTTGGGTTCTGTTTCATTTTATCAACCTTTCATTCTGCCCGAAGTTGCCCATGCAGAGTTGAATAGATCTAAATATTTCCATGTATTTGAAAAGTTTGTCTAGCTCTGACAATGAAAGCTTTTTCATTTTTATTAAGCAAATTAAAGTTATCTTTAAAAGTTACATACAACTATGCTGGTAAGAAATATAGAATGTTTAAAGTTAGTCTCTAATTTTTATTTTTTAAAATGTAATGTAGACTGAAAGACTGAAAATGTGTGTCACAATTACCACCCTCCTTAATAGGCTTAGTTTCCAGACCAAACCTATTCATAGTCTTTTTAATAAACCATGCCTTTCCGTGTTCAGATAAAGCTACTTTTTCTATATTACTTTACACTTTCACAAGGTGTTATTTTAAAAGATGAGGCAAATAGGAGAGGAAAAGACAAATAATCTGTGTGTCAGAATGTTCCTGAAATCACATCATTGTCCACTAGACACACAGCCAAACATATACTTCCCCAAGCAGTGAAACTGAATGTGCAAAGATTAATAGGCAAACAAAAATGCTTATTACATTGATGTTGACCTTCCTAGTTTACAAATATTGGACTGACCAGTAACAGTATTGCATCTAGTATAGCATCTGGTCGGTAAAATAAGATTGGTGCAGGACAGTTTGTCAAGACCTTCTTTCACATCTACACAGAAGTTCAACGTTGGTATTCTTTATTTCTTGTGCATATGCACACAGAGTGGTTATTATTTTGTAAAAGCAGGGCAGCAAAGGGAAAGGTCACGATTTTTCAAAAGCATCCGAAAAGGAGACAATGCTCAACTTGTTAATTAGGGAAATCAAAGGTGATGCTGAATAATAACTTTGATTGGAATATAATTAAACTGAATTAGGACTTTTTTATTATAAAGTAAAAATGAGATGAGTACAAAAGCCACAGGTTCTTACTCCATTTGCTGAGAGATTCGGATCCGTAAAAAAATACCCAGTTTATCTTTAGCACATATTATTCCAATTAACAGCGCTTGCAGAGTGTTTTAGAACTATTATTATTTTTAAATCTGCTGAGCTAATACAATTGTTCCTTCCAAATCTTGCAGAAAACAATGAAGATAAATGACTGTACAGTTTTTCCGTAGAGTCCCACAGAAACAGCGCATGCCATCAACTCAAATAGACAAATATGTTTAAAGAAAGAGTACTGAGTAATAACTGAGTTTATGAAATAACAACCTGAACCACAAGTTAAATATTCTTTAAAAATTCTGCTCAGGATCAAGGTAAAGGAAGAGGAAGCAAATTTTTTAACCTGTCTCAAGTACCATGATTTTCTGTCAACTTTAGGGTATTTTTTTAAATTCTATTAAATTTACATACCTGAGTTCAAAGAGAAACCTTGGAGACTTTGCTATCAAACAATTTCTATGCAAAGATAAAATTTCCCTTTATATCATGCTTCCAATTGACAAGGTCCTTTTCTTGGAAAAGGTATAGTCATAAGGGCAGAAAATTCTAGCAGCTTGTGTTTTAAATACCAACAGGTTAGAAGTTGTAGACCTAATAGTGTCAAAAATAAATCCATTATAATTATGCAGAACTTGCCCAAAGAATGTCAGACAAAGAATGGTATATCCCAAAGTAATGTATTCATGAAAAGATTTGGTATGCAATGTCACATTTCATCATGTGTTAAAGAATAAACATTGCAAAATATGATCATGGCCAAGTCATGTAATAAGACTATGCTGAGTCTGGGACAAATGGGAGAACACAAAAGCCTTTCCTTGATTCAGAAAGATAAAACCAAAGTACCATTGGATGTAAAGACGACTGTCTGTATCTCACAGTCTATAAGCACAATACTCGAAGCACTTGAGAGACTTGGACTTGCTGATTCATGGCTCTGTGACACAGCATTCAGGCTAGTTCATTTCTATTCATACAAATAAGTTTGTTGTTCTGAGATAAGTCTCAACGTCATTTGGATAGTAATGCATTTCAGCTATTCTAACTTGTTCTGTCACTGCTGTTTGGAAAGACCTAATAGTAAAGTTTCTGGATATAGGACCCCTGTTGATATTGTGCATTGTAAGTTATCTCGCCTCCAGATGTCTCACCAGCTGCACGTTTTATGTTTATTCTGCAGTACTTGTAAGGTGGTCCAAATCAGTGGCAGGGCAGTCCATCCTTAAGATAACTAGGAGGGTGGAGAGGCAGGGAAATCTACTTTGAAACTTTCATCTCCCTGCCTGCGTCAGCACAGGGACATTCATCTTATTGCCATGACACCATTCTGTTTAGCAAACTGGACACAAGCCAGAAATGTTTGATGGACATTAATGATCAGATCCTGTGTGGCTGAACCTCTTGTGAGATCTTGGCTTGGTGCCTTCCCTCCCATCATCACTGCCCCTTCTCATCGCTCTCGCTTCACCAACTTT